CCATGCAAGGAGCCTAACGGTACCAGTGTCTTGGTTAGGGTTTTCATAACCTCATGTCAGGTATTAATTTGATCACCCTTGACCCTTTTCCACCCGCTGCCTGCCTTGACCAACATCGCGCACAGTGGCAACCTGGGTGTATGGTTGACTGAATGAATTGATGATTGTGTGCAGATCAAGTCTCAAGGATAGTCACTCAATTGGTTCAGTCAATTGTATCAAAGGCACGCTCAACAACGAAGCTGTACTTTAATCTAATCAAAGAAGCTGCGCATGATCATCATCATCATTGTACAGCGTAATACAGTGAAGTGAACTTCATCGATTGCCGTCAAACTCATAATGCATAAAGAGGATAGGGATTGGGCTCATTTTTTTGAGGCGGGAAAAGAAAACGAACCTCTATGGTCAACACCGAGTACACAGTCGAACTGTGCGTACTTATTAATTCAAGCATTCTGGTCTGATAAGAAGGCACAGCATGATCACCATTGATGTCGGTTTGCTGCCATGGCCTTCAGTGTTTCCAACCATGCAGTTACGGAGTCTTGTGGGCCCCAACCCGGAAGACGAGATACACCTACTCTACCTAATCGCCCAGTGCATTTCTTCACGCCTCGTCTCCACGTCATCTGCTAGCCTCCATGTGGCTTTTTTACAGTCCGCAACATCCACTGCAAATAAGGCGCGCTGCAGTAGGCGACCATCGGACATAAGGAAAACGTGTCCTAATCAACGGAACCTATTGAGCTGAATTCGATGCGATAGCGAGTTTTTGTTTGATGCATTTCCAAACTGACTCCATCCCACTAGGGCCAGACTACGGGAGCATCGATTGTCGAAAAACATTAAACGACGGATGTCTCCTACCCGCAAATTCAAGGCCTTAGAACCGTAAGGCAGGACTAATACTACAGTGGCGCAGTATACGTCAGTTAACAATTTAAATGAAAGGTCATATTGTTGCCACGGGTGTTTCAATCCTGCGTACGCTGCTCGAGTCTTGGAAATGCGGGCGGTTATCACCTTTGGTGCGCTACCGTCGTCGATTATGCAGCTACCTAAGTACGAGCAGTCAACTCCAGCGAATTCCCGATCGTCTAGTTTCAGAACGGGACTCAGCGAAACTCAGTCTAGTAGCATCATGTTGCACTTTGAAGGTGAAGAGCACGCACCGAACGGAGCGACAGAACTTGGCGGACGCATCACAGATGAAGTGTCGGCAAGTATATAAAGGGTTCAGTTGGCACTTGCTAACTTGAGACATCTGTGGCACCGTCGCGATATCCGGCTGCCTGTGAAGGGTCAAGTATATGCTGCAACAGTTCGACCAGTCGACCTCCAAAGATTACACTGGTTGAGACATGTTCTACACATCTCACCAGATGGGTTGCCACGGCGAGTGATGTTTGTCGAGGCAGGCAGCAGTTGGAAAAAGGTCAAGGGCGCTCAAACGAAGACATGATGTGAGGTTTTGAAAACCCTAACCACGAGACCCGGCCACATAGGCCTCGTTAGGCTCCTTGGATGGGGACCCCGAGACCATGGTAACCGGTGGTTAGGGATACTGAGCGACATCGCTGGTTGTCGCACTCATGTATTTACTCATTATTCTTGCAATCTCAGCCTACGTGAATTCTGCTTGGATTTGCTGCCATCACTCCGATCTCCCCTCTCTTCTTTTATCCAAATGGACGGCCAACATACAGCAACCAAAACCGGTGCATGAAAGTGCATGATTAATGGTTGTTAAAACTAATATTGACAGAATTTGGTAATCTGTCAAGTGCTTTGTACATCCTCCATACATTCGAACAGGCAAACGTTGTCGTCAGTATACTCTAGATTGCACAGCTTTTCTCTAGCATTTTGTGGACCACTTAGTGCGTTCTACAGTATTTCGTCTATGACGAAATTCCACAGGAATGGCGTAAGACGGTATTCTTGACGAACACCGCTGCGCAGATACTGTAAAAGCTGGAGAGGTAGGGTAACATTCAGGTAAGATCAAGTGTATTCCTTTTGCGTTTAAGGTTGGAGGGAAGAAAGAAAATGGGAGGCTGTTCCGCAAGTTGACAGCTCGATGAAAAGATTGAAGCAGAGAAGTACGACATCTGGGAACCGAAATCTGATAAGGATGACTTAATACCTGCGTACGAACGGCGAGGTCAAATAAACGATGGTCTGCCAGCCGCGTTTGGTGGGGTTTTCTGCCACCAGTGAGTTTGAGAGTGAACTGCATCAAAACTAATGCGCGGTCAGATTCAACGCAGGTGGTCCAATAGGACCTTCAATTTTCCACTGAGCCACGCCAACGGCAGTTATATGGTCGAAAGGAGTTGATGAACCAGTTGAACTGGTGCGCTGTCTACTAAGAGCTGTCGGAAGTTGGTGCTGGATGGGAACAGATGATGATCTGCACAGAACTGAAGAAGTCGATCGCCATTATCTGTTTGCTGGCATGGTAGAGCATAATGATCACCCAGGCAAGCTTCCGATGCGCTCAGTTTTCCAACTTAAAATCACCTGCGAGAACAACTACATCCGAGGCTCGGCTCAACAGAATGAGTCTTCGTGTACGTCAGAACTGCACTTGATCGGAGCATAGACTGAAATGATGAATAAACACACTTTGGTGTTGCTTCCCTTCCGGACACTGATTGAGCCCTCGGGAAACACTGCACATAAACGACTGTTGACGGATCCAATCGAGTAATGCAGCTTCGGCTCTATTATTGAGTACGATGTTCACGCCACGCTGGCCTACTGAACGGGCTTCATCATCATCTGAGGTGCGGAAGAAACACCTCGGAGAGAACTCCGGTACACTTAAATGGCTTATAGTACCAGGATTCTCGATTCGCGTCTCCGATACGCAGAGGACATCAATCCCTAAAGAGTTCATTGCATACACTAGACACGCTTGTTAACCTACCTGCATCAAGGCCCTCGCGTTGAAGGGACCCCGATTCAGTGACTGAGGAGGCTTCAGAACCTGCAATCTATTTTGTAGTGAACTACTTACCGCGTTATTTGTCAACGAACTTTGGCGAGTGAAGAACAAGTTGTCTGAGGGGCAATGGGTCGGAAGAAAGGACAAGTGGAGAGGACTGCGTGCGGAAAACAAAGAACCAAACAAAGGTTGGGATATCTGAGCAGTAGACCAATTATCATTAACCACCCCTCTCGATGCAATGGGCAGCGCGGTCCTGATCATCTTGCCCGACGACCGATGCAGTATGAAATTATTTTGTTTGTGCATGCATTAGAGTTTGATGGGTGGTACTTCCAGGGTGTTCAGCCACTAAGCAGGAAAACGATCAGGGTTCTCGATCAAAGCCTTTAGTTCTGATAAGAAACTGACCGCAAGGCAGCGCGTAAAGCGAAGCAGAGGTCCACTCAATTGGATCGATTATTCCTTCACCATTTCACCGACTGAGACGCCAACTACAGTCGAATCCCAAACCTGGAGGATCAGGAGAACGGACTTCGTCCGACCTCTACCCATCTACCTTCCAGGTATGATAAGATCGCCGGGCATGATAAGGCCACCCTGCGTAGCTCGTTGGGTCATAGAGATGCACAAACCATCACACCACGTCAAGGCGCAGTCTCGTCGTGAGGGGAAAAACAGGCAAAAGCTTGTCAGAAGCAAACATCACAAGTCTCGGTTGAAATCGCCTAGGAAGTTATTGCGGGTCCGTGCACGTGCATATGCCAGAGACATAAGCGAACTTCGCAGAGGACCATCGATGTAAGATATTATTATTTCTAGCGATCATAGCCTGACGATGACCAAGGTAGAAAAAACATGAGTGGGAGCTAAAAATCAAGAGCGAATTCTGAATAAACAGGGGAAACAATAAATTTTGCGAACAACCTCAAGGTTCGTGGGCGACACAACTGTAGGCCATTTTTCGAACGTTAATTAATTGGACCTGACCTGCTTGGCATGATGAATGCAGGAACTACTACTACTAATACTACAGTGATCTTTTGATCCCATATATGAATACTGTATTAGAATGAAAAAGCTTCGAATCAGAAATCCAGACAGATAGATGCAACTTACCCGGCAGAGAAGTTGCTACGTTTCCAGCTCCAGCAGCAGCGGCTGCGTCGTCTTGCTCTTGACGCCTCAACTGATCCTCCATAGATACTCGAAGTGNCGTACAAGAAATCGACATCCTCGTTTGCATCTAATCCGAAACCCACGCCCAAGCCAGCATTCGACAGAGCCCCACCATGTTCACCGTCCACAACATGGCTCGTCAGTAACGAATCATGAAGTACACACCCAGGGGGGACCAAAACCAAGTGTGAGTAACCACCATCTTTGCCATTGAGCGTGTCAATAAAATCGACTAGCTTTTGTTGGTTCGCTTCCACTTCACCAAAATTGATGACATCCACATTCACCTTTTCCTTCTTGAGTCGCTTCGCTAACCTTATCATCTAAAAAGAAATAACGCAATACAAAACAATATTTACGGATTTTTCGTCATCTAAAATAGGGCTTCCGACAAAACAAACAATTCTCATTCTTTGATGCCGCAGCTGACGATGCCGTAGTGCCAGGTGAGCGATCTGGATTGACGTGCAAAAATTGATGTTCCCCTTCGGCTCCACCATGTGTAAACGGTTGTATATTTTGCTGGTGTCATTTGTAAGGGTGCACAGAACTTCTGTTTTGGCCATAGAGAGCAATCCCAGAGTATTTTCCGGGTTCTTTTGGCGTTTACTCTGACAGATAAGGCTAACCGCCTCATTTTGAGCTTGCAGACGGGAAGGTGGAAAATCCCCGTTTCGCATAAAATCACTGTCATCCACCCTGATTATCAAATTCAAAGTTATTCGTCATAAAAAGGACTTACGCGATTATAGTTGCTTCCTGAGACATGACTGAAGCAAATCAGCCTTTCGCGCTTAGTTCAAGGTCAGGACAGGACAGGACAGATCACAGGACTTGCGGCGGAGCCAGAAGCAGTCCA